TGCAGGGTGCTCATATTGTTCTCTGTGCAAGGGTGCCGCTTGTGTGGGTGTGTCAGGCACAATGTGGACATGCTGTTTCTGGGACCATGGGTGGGTGAAGGGTTCAGGGCCTATTGGCCATGTCTTGGAGCAGCAGCTGCCTAGTATATGAACCACACAGCACGTTGAGTGTGGCTGGACCCAGGAGAGCTCATAGGAGTACACTCCTTGGCCTCCTGTGCGAACACAGCGCTCTCTGGTCCAGGCCTGGGCAGTGTCCAAACGAAGAAATAGGAGAAAAATAATGGCCACGTGCAGCAAACTGGCATTTCCATTAATTGTCACATAATCTTTGGGATGAATTTTATTTTACAAGAAAACTGATGCTTAGATAACAATTTAAATAAATGGAAATCTCCATTTTACAGATAATAAAGCAGATGCTCAAACAACTGAATGCATCATTGGAAACCCAACCCAGGCCTCTCTCATTCCTGAACTAGTGGACATTTTTTCATGTTTTCTTTTCTCTTACAGATTATCATGAAAATCTCTTCCTCTTTTGATGTGATTTTTATTTACATTTATATGAATTATTAAACATTTTGGATTTTATTTAAAATTTTAATGATCGGTGCTGTCTTTCCATTTTAAATTTCATATAGTGTTTCAAACTATTCCTCTACAGATAAGTAAGGTACTATTTTCTATATTTTACAGTTTAGTTTTGAGAAATTAAATTCTAATCCATCTAGTATGTATAGGCTGAGAAGGTTCATCTCAGTTTTCCATGGGATTATCTCAGTACCATTTATTTATATTAAATAACGTTTTCTTTCTTCATTGCCCTGTGATGATTACTTTATACATTCCTCATGTGGCATATGCTCTTTGAACCTTTCCCTCCTTTTCTTGTCTAAGTCCTGTTTATCTTCAGAATCTATCTCAGCTACCAGGGCTTCATAAAATTTCCTAATTCTGATTTCCATGCACTACCCCTACCTGAAACCTCTCCTCTTAATTGCCACAGCACTGTGTATAGGTATTTCTCAGGATACTTCCTTTTTACCTTGAACATTTTAATTGCTACAGTAAGGCTAGATAGCGAGGTCGTTTTTATCGTTGCATCTGCTATGGTACCTGTTTTGGTATTATATACATACTTGACTTTCTGATAAATACTTGTTTTTCTTTAACATTTATACACAGTTGGACCTATTCTGATTTTTCTGTTCTCTTCCTCTGACTTTATATTTACCAATTCTACACAATTTCAATTATTAATGAGTAGGACTGACCTTTGTCATTTGTTCTTCATTTTTCAAACAACACACAGACTTGTGTGTTTTTTCAGATGGATATAGAATAACCTTTTCAAGGTCTTAAATTAAAACTCAGATATTGTACTTGTGGAATTATATAATAATGCCCTTTTGTAATGTTGTCTGATCTGGAGACATGGTCAACAGGCTCTTTAATTCAAGTGCATTTTTGTGTTTCTGCGATGACTCTTCAGATTGCTTTGTATGTGTTGAGGGGAACTTAAACAAATTGAATTCAGTTAGATTTTATCATATATCCAAATAAAGAAGGGACACAGTGTGGGTTGCATAACCAGTTAGGTCTGTACATCGTCATTTGAAATACTGCAGAGCTGTACATGTGGTGACAGAATGCTCTGAAGTCATAACTCAGGTTTTATGTTTTGCTGGAGGCAAAGAAATTTTAACACTTACTTGAAGAGCCTCTAGGTGTGTGGCTGTGAGGTGTCTGGGTTATCTAATCTACATTCTATCCAATAGTCTCTATTTATGACCTGACATTTGATTTCTAAGGGTGAAAACAATTACATTTTTATTATTCCTTGATTTATTAATAATTAGACAGGATAAATAGAATTTTTACTCTATGGTTTTATGCAAGAGGCATTGGTTTTTCCCCTGTGGTTTATGGAAGTATGAAGGTGGCCAGCCAAGCCACTTGTTTTGTTTATTTCTGGGTGGCTGCAGTTAGCCTTAGGGAAGGAAGTTTTTCTTTGGCAGAAAAGCAGAATGTGTTTATTCATTCCATTTGTAGTAACATTGATCCAAGAGGAGCTTTTGAGGAAAACCAGAGTAGTTAGGACTTGAGCATAAATAGGTTCGATTCCTCTCCTAACTGGTAGAGAAAAGTAAACGATTAGGATTAACAATATATAAATTGTAGGCAATGCAAAGTTCTAGAGCAGAAGTTGCAAACTGATTGTTAATTAACCAAATATAGCCCTCCATCGGTTTCTTTAGGCTTCCTGAGTGGTTATAAAACTTATTTGATTAGTTGGTTACATCTGAAAATTGTTTTGCATGTATGCCTAGCAGCATGGCGTGGTAATAGCAGTGGCGTCTTTTAGACTAAGCACACAGGTTTGTTTGCCCTCGTTGGCATTTCCAACCAGATTCCCACCGACCCCATATGCATTTAACTATGCAACTCATTCTAGAGGCTCTTGAATACAGAGGTAAAAGATCTAATACTGTTAATGCAGCTGACCTTCAGCTTTGAGTTAATAGGAGATAGAATAGTAGGTGTTAAGATTTTAGGTACTGAGAGTTTGTGTGGAATATGGGATGTGTGAGAAACAGTAGTTGTAGAAGAATGCAAGGTTTTGACCTGGGCAGCTGAAAGGGTAGAGGTCCATCAGATGAGATGGGGGAAGATTGCAGGCAGATGAGTTGGCGGGGGGGAGGGGGGGGGATGAGGAGTTTGGTTTTGGACATGATAAGTTTGGGGTATCTATTAAAAATCTCAGTGGAGATATTAAGCAGGCAGTGGTATGAGAGTGTGGCGTTGGAGAGGAATGTCCAGACGGAATAAATGAATGTGAGATATGTAAAGCCAGCCGTGAGAAGTGAGACCACAGGGAGAGTGGGGGACCCGGACTGAGCCTGGGGACATGTCAATTTCAGAGGTTTGAGAGAATTTCAGCAGATGTGAGGAAGGAACATCCAGTGAGATAGGATGAGAAGGAAGTGAGTGTGGTGTCCTGAAGGACAGTGTCCTGACCTGGTTTCACCCCAAAAGCAGAGCCTGAGACAGGGACTTTTTAGGCTGTTAATTTATTTGGGGGCAGAAATTGGAGAACGGGGGCACATGAAGAAGGAAGGAAGGAAGGAAAGGCTGTCCAGGGGTGCATTATTGACGGACTGGTCATTTCTGTGAGCAGGTGGGGCTTGATCCTGGGGAAGCTCTTAGAAAAGACGTGAAGAATATGCCTCTGGGTGGGACGGGGGAGAGGGGTCTGTTATCTACCAGATCCATCCCCCAGTGGTCAGGGATTGCTCACGGGGTGTTGGTGTTAACAAGTCCAGGTTGTCCAGGTTCACTTGTGTCTCACAGTGGTGGAGGGTCCCTGTGGGCATCTCTGACAGCAAGGCCGTCCTCAGGAAGCAGCCAGTGGTACAGATAGGGGAGGAGCCACAGTGGGACTGGAAATGTGCGGCGGGCACAGGGGTGTCTCGTGTGGCCCGCTCCCCTGTACCCTCCATGAAGCCCTTGTCATTGAGTCCAGTCTCCTGCCAAGCATCCAGGGTGTGGCTGGCACAATCTGCGTGAGAGGACAACAGGAAGGAGGGGCGGGGGAATGGTTTTCCTTATTTCAGTCTTGTACCTCTGATTCTAGATTCCCTCACCTTCAGCCGGCACGTCAGCAGCTTGAGGCCTAATCCTGGTAGGGTGGGCCAGGCCTTCCCCAAGGGGCGCAGTGCCCGTCGGCTCCAGTTGCTGCTGCTGCCCCTTCATAGTTACTGCTGCGCACGGCAGCCCCGGCTGGACACCCGGGTCCTTAACATACTCCCTCCTGTCACCATCACTGAGCAGCAGCCGAAAGTCCTCACGGTGCTTAGGGTCCGTATACAGGGGGACCCCTCCCCCGCCACATAATAACTCCTTCCTTAGCGTGTGGCCCAAAGTAAGGAGCCTAGAATGACCAGGTGACAGTTGCTGCTTCAGAATTCTTTCTGTGTCTCCTGGCAAGACGCCCTCCTCTCCTGCCCCAGAATCAGAATTTCTAACCCAGTGGAGCCCAAGGCTGCCAGTCTTACCTCCGGCTGGTGGTCCCTGGAGCCAGGTTGTGTTTTGTTTTTGTTTTTCAGTCTGTCAGAGACACAGCCCCACAGTCAGTCTTCGGGCAACAGTGTCAGTGCCCTGTTAGGTCACTGCCACCTCGGAAGGCGGTGCCTGTCCCTTCTAGATGTTCCCAAGTGGCTCATACATAGAAGCTGTGTGTGCGTTAACTCCAGGACTTCGGGGTTACAGACGGAGCCTCGGGGAAGGACAGATGTTTTCACCGGAAGGTGACACGTCACGCTGGTCCAATGTTCCTTCTCACTCTCTGTGGACCAGGCTGGTGTGTCACAGGGCCTCTCGTTGCTCTGAGTGGCAAAATTAGAATACACTCATTCTGAAGCTTGAATTTACCTAACACTGTTTTGGACTTTGAAATAGTAAAAGCCGTCCTAGAGAGGACTTTGCGTTCACTTCAGTCCGCCACAGGTGCCTCTGGCAAATAATAAGTCGCTGTCGTGGGATGTAAGGGTCTCAGCACCTGTGATAACCCTGATACTTTAATAGTGCTTGAAACGGAATGAACTTTAACTGTGACAGAATTCAGAAATATGCCCTATTGATATTTTAGGCTCCTGTTACAAGAATAAAAAAGAATTATTCATTTTCTTCCCTTCTGTTTCATACGATATAATGAGAACTGTGTACTTAGTACTCTTATTGTTAGTCTTCAAGCACATTGAGGGGGACGACTAGGGTGCTTTATCACCTGTGCGTGTTTCCAGGTGTAACATAATGCCTTACTCCTAGCAGGTTCTTTGTAAATAGTTGTTGAGTTAATCCAAGGACACACACACACACACAGCATATACATGTAACATGCGATCGCATTCATGAGCTTTATCATTTTAATAAAATTAAAGTTGTTTTAAAGTATAATGATGTTTTAGACTTTCTTCCTTTTTTCTTTCTTCAAACAGATAGAGGGACAAGAACGGAGCCACCAGCACTGGCCGAAGGTAAATCGCCTTTGGGGGAAATGATTGTTCAGATGCAAATGAAATGTCGTGATTCAGATTAAAAACTACATTGCTAGAGATAATTTAAGGAAAATGTTCTGTACATAACGTTGAACTGCTAAAAATATCTTGTAGGAAATAATGCTCTCTGTTGTTTAGTTTCTGGCTTAGACTAGGAAGTAGAGGGGAAATGTAAATTTAATTAGAACTTTTTTACAGCTTTCTTTCAATAGGAGAGGTATGTGTTTTCTTTTGTAAATTCCCTGTAAGTCCTGTCAGATGTCTCTAGCACAGTTGATAGTAGTTTTAAAAATATTTATTCATTTATTTATTTGGAAAGTAGAAGGGAGGACACTTTCACATTCGTTCTTAATGAGAATTCTACCAATTATTGGTTTGGGTACTTTTTAAAAAGTATACAGCACAGCAACAACAAAATAGTTACTGTTAGTGTGCTGAGTATTTCAGTATGCGTATATAGTCCTGCAGTTGTTTAAATTATAACAAGGTAATGGGTATTTGAAAATGTTAGTTTTCTATAGGCCCTTTGTGGTCTTCACGTGAAAGTGACCAGTTTAAATCTCTTCCAGTGCTCTTCCCAGTCACATAGAGATACTTACACTTCAGAATGTGCCTGGGTTTTTCAGACCTGATGCAACAGTTATCAGGATGGTCCTTTGGGACTGTGACCCCTCGCCTGCTCTGGGTGCCACAGTGCAGGACTTCTCAACCCCTGTGGTGCCGGGCCTCTGGTAGTCTGGTGAACCCTGGGAACGCCTTCTCAGAATAGTGATTCTGATAGTTATTTTGTGAACTAAAATACATAGGATTATAAAAGGAACCAGATTATAGAAATAGTTAACAAATACTAAAAACACAAATCTTTAATAGATTAATATATATGCTTCCTACATTAGAGAATAAGCCTTGGCGACAGTTCTGCTAAATACTATAATTTTAAATAGTGACGAGTTTGCAGTAATTATAATGCGATAGGAAAATACCTGTGATTTCTATTGATGACACGTTCACAGGGATTTCTAATACTGCCGTGTTTGTTGCCTGTAACCTCGATTGAAGGAATTGCCAGATTTCACCTAGAGGTCAGTGAGAAGTTTCCCATCCGAATTCACAGGCACTGAATTCTCTCTCTGGACCCCAGATTAAGAACTCCTGTTGGTGAAAGTCTGCTTGACTTTTCCTTCTCCATTGTATTTGATAAGTGCATTTTTTAATGTTCCGTATAACTAATCTTAAAGAAGTAGCACCACCCATCTGTACCTTAAGAAATATCCGGATGGCGTAGGCTAGAAGTTCTTGAAATAGCTTTGAAGAAACTTCTGTTTGCTGGTTAATAATCACAGAACAGCATTCTGTGGGGAAGGGTGAGAAAGTGTCAAGCCTGGGCGTTGGCCTGCCCCCAAAGAACTCACATTCTAGTTTAAGGAACATGAACTACACATGTAAAAATAAAATAGTTCAAGATACCAAAAGTTAACAAGAGAAATGTCCTCATTCTCTGCCATAGGAAGGATACAGATGGTAAGTGTTCTGATGCTTGTGTTGTGGGAAAGTGGGCAAAGATGGCACCAGAATGTTAGGCCGGTGGAATCAGATCTGACCTTGGTTTAGCAACCTCTGTGCTGGAGTTATGGCCAAGAAAGAATTCAGAGCCAAGACTCAAACTATACGAGAAAGTTTACTTAGTCACAGAGGTGGAAGTGAGCGGTAGAGAAATGGGCTCAGGAAACAAGTCACAGCGGCAAGAGAAGGCCCTGGGAGCTTAGGAGGGAGAAAGGTAGAGGTGACATGCACCTCGGAGGAAGACGGGGAGGAGGGAGTGTGCTGGGCCCTCTTTACCTAAGGGCTTTTAAGGGTGAGGATTTTAGGGGAGGTCCCAGGGGAGGCTCTCAATAAAATATTCATCAGCTTTCCAGGTGTGATTTTGCAGGGTCATGGTCTCTACTGATTGATGGGCACCAGGGCAGAGGGTCGTTAGTCGGGGCAGCTGGTCCTAATGTCATCCATGGCATTGCTTGTCTGGTTTTGCTGCTTTTCTGGTTCTGGAGCTGAAACACAACTGAAGCTTAGATGTATTTGGTGTGGGTCAGAACCTCATTGTTCTGGGGGCTTAAGACTTAAGGGCTATTCTGTGGTCCCCTTGTTTCCCCCTCTAAGGGGGGTCTACCCCATGACCAGCAACATTTCAGGGGAGGTCCCGAACCTCCTGGCCAGCTGTGATATGAAAGGTCAGGGGTGTCTAAACTGCACGACCAGCAACAAACCTCCTAGGGGAGGACCGGTCACCCGTGGGCACATCCTAGGGGAGGACCGGTCACTTGTGGGCACATCCTAGGGGAGGACCGGTTCTATGTGGGCAAGGTCCTTCTTTCCCAGTTCTGTCTGTGGCTAGACACCTGGGGCTTTCCACCCTGGTGACCTTCTGGCCTGTCTTCCTTGATCTGCTTGTGTCTGTCTGACTGCCCACCATAGAAATACAGAAAAGGTCAAGAATTATAAAGAATCATCAGGTTCTTTCCAGTCACATGAGCAGTGTGAACCCTGCAGTGACTATGTGCCAGCCTAGGGTAGGAAGAGCTGAGAGCGGTGTCACTGAATTTGAATGTGTGTTCACCACCTGGTAGCTGACTAATAAAGGGAATAGCAGATCCGGGAAATTTGGTTGTAGCAAAACAGCACTAACATTTGTTTTGAAGGGAACATGGTGGCCGTCTGACTTCTGGGGTGTTCTGATTCTATCAGTATGATCCAACCCTGATGCCGTGTTTTAAAGATGTTCCCAAAAGCTGCACTGCCAAGGTCACTGGATTAAGCTCTACTTAAGAAAACTAATTTGCTGCCCAGCTGGTGTGGCTCAGTGGTTGAGCGTTGACCCGTGCACCAAGAGGTTGCCAGTTTGATTCCTGGCCAGGGCACATGGCCAGGGCACATGCCCAGGTTGTGGGCCAAATCCCCAGTAGGGGGCATACAGGAGGCGGCCAGTCGATGTTCTCTCTCATCGATGTTTCTCTCTCTCCCTTTCTCGCTAAAGATCAATAAAGAAAAAGAAATTTTATATTTAAAATAAAACAAAACAAATTTGCTGCTTTTGCCCAAGTCACCACGTTTCTCTGGTCCTCAGTTCCTTTCTCTTAGTAAGCTAGAGAATGAGTTACATGACTCCAGGTCACTCACGAACCTGTGTTCTGGGCTCAGGTTTGCTGTCCGCCTTCTTCCTTTCCTCCCAGCAACTTTAGACACGGGGCGAAAATACCCACAGTAGTTAAGTGCATTGGACTTTGGTTTACGTAAATGCTGTCCTTGTATATGCTGTGTGGAACTTTAAAAGCCATAATTATTAGGTAACATACTTAGTTCAGAAAACTTTGTGATAGATGCATTTTGCATTTGTCTAACATAATGGTTAGAAAATCCATTTAAAATTAATATGCTCCACTATAAGAAAACAATGGAGTATCTTCTATTTTTTTGTTAATCAGTTTTTTGGGGGGTGGTAAGTCGGGTTTTGCAATGTTACTTAGTGAAAGATATCAGGCTTATCATTTGAAAATAGTCATGGGGATGCTTTTTAAAAATTTACTCAGGAAATCTGTCTCCACTGTCCACCTGAAGTAAATAAGTATTTTTAAAAATGATATAATGAAAACATTCAATTATAATTACCACCTCCTCTGCAAGATCAAAATGTAATGACCTCTGTTAGAATGTTTTTAGCATTATATGAGATACTGATTTATAATTGTAGAATTATTCAAGAACATATCTTAAAAATTATATGATTACCAAGAAGAACACATTTATATTTTGCCTTTGATTATGATGAGCCTGGAGGAGTGGCATTTAAGGGAATGATTTTAATGGCAGTTCAGGAACGAGGACACGTTGGACAGTGACCTGTGGTTTCACTGCGTACATTTTTAGTGTGCCAGGCTCAAACACAGACCTGCCAGACGGCGGGAGTCTCTAAGGACACTCCTCCATGTTCTATCTGTCATCTTTTCCTAGTCATCATATTTTTTTCCTTAAAATTTTTTTCTCTTAGAATTTTATTCCTATTTTAGAAATTTCAATACTAGTATTAAATTAATTTCTTTTAGGAACAATTGAAACATTTAAACATTCTTTGGGATGAATTATGTGTACTTTCATTTATGATTAGGAAGCAAGATGGCAGAATGGTAAAAAGAACTGTTGGGACCCAGATTTGTCTGAGTGAGTTCCAGCTTCACTGTGAAGCTAGTTGCTTAATCCTTCTGACCTTCAGGTTGGTCAGAACTAAAGTGAGGATTGCTAACCAATCTCATAAAATGGTTGAGGACTTTATAAGGTTATACTGTGTACATGCTACTTAGCATAGTATATGGCACACAGGAAGATCTCATTCATTGACTTTTGCTTTTGTTTAGTGCTACAGCATCCAAGGCCCTCTGCCAGGTGCTTTGGATACAAAGATGAAGCTGTAGTCATACTCAAGGAAAACTGGTTCTATTGTCCTTAGTTCCTTTAGTCTCAGTTTAAGAAGGTCCTTATGGTGAGTATTTCCTAAATAACTACTTCTAAACTTTTATTCTATTTCAAAAGCTAAGTCCTCCTACTTACTAGACAGGAGATAATCTTATTTGTAATTTTTGGCATATGTGAGTATATGTATATATATTCTGATAGATAACTTTCCTTTGACCTCAGTTTAATATATAGTAAGATATTTCACATATTTAATGGGTTGCCAAGGGCACAGGAATTTTTTTGTTTGGTTCCAGAACTGATACCAATGAGGAGGAATTGACAAGTAGGTGAATTACAGCTTAATACATGTTTTGTGTGATTGTTGAGGGAAAGATTCAAATTGGATTAATTGTGCATCATTTGATCATTGGCTGACGTTTCTAAAAATCGATTGAAGTCTAAAATTTAAGTCATTTGAAAATAGTGTCCTTAATGCTGATTGTTTTTAATGTAATGATCATATTTTTTTTCAA